ACAAAAAAATATTTTGTATTGATTGACAGATACCTTATCGTGATTGATGATCTATGGACAACAGAAGCATGGAACACTATTAGTTGTTCTCTTGTGGAGAATGATTGTGGTAGTAGAGTTATAACAACAACACGTATTGAAGCTGTAGCTCAGGCATGTTGTTCTTCCCATGGCAGTGTCTACAAGATCAAGCCTCTTAATGACATTGACTCAAGGACGCTGTTTCATAGAAGGATTTTTCACCCTGAAGATGCTTGTCCAGAGGAACTTAAGAATGTTTCTGATGAAATTTTAAAGAAATGTGCAGGGGTGCCATTAGCCATACTTAGTGTAGCAAGCATTTTGGCTAGCCCCGAAGGGGTAAAATCAAAGGAAACATGGGAAAAGGTTAAAAATTATTTAGGTTTCCAGTTAGAAGGAAACCCTGCTTTAGGGTTGATGAAACATGTGCTCAATCTTAGCTTCAGTGAATTATCTCCGGACCTTAAGACCTGTATGCTATATCTTGGTATATTTCCTGAAGATGGGGAAATATGCAAGGATGATTTGGTGAAGAGATGGGTAGTTGAGGGTTTTTTTACTGAAGATTATGGGCCTTATGGACCAGAGGAGATTGCAGAAAGTCATTTTAATGAGCTTATCAATAGGAACATGATCCAAATAGGCAAGTTGGATGAGTGTGGGCATGTCTTATCTTGTCGGGTGCATGATCTAATGCTTGAATTTATCATAGTAAAGTCAACAGATGAAAATTTCATCACTATAATTAATGATGTTCACGGTACGAAGAAGGGCCATCTGGAAGCTCGTCGGTTATCCCTCCAAGTCAGGAATTCTGAATATAGTCAGGTGCTGGCAGACATGGACCTGGCAAAAGCTCGGTCATGTAACTTCTGGGGGCCTTGTGAATTGGTGCCTCCTCTCTCGAGGTTTCAGCTTTTGCGAGTTCTATATCTATATATTGATCATCGCGATCATTATTGTTCCAGGGGCAACCAGCAACAGTGTGATTTGTCTCCGTTACGCGGTCTTTTCCAACTGAGATATCTGAGTTTGATGAGCAGCCACCATTTTATGCTAGATGCTGGTGACTTACCCTCAACGCTGTGGCATCTGATTGTTCCGCCAAATGTGAGGGTGAGTGAGATTCGCAGGATGAAAGCCCTCCGAACATTGGATATGTACGAGATATTTCTCCATGATACACAAAGGTACGAGCAGCGTATCCATGGTACCACTATCACATATGTATGCAGGGAGATAAAACATGAGGCGAACATCAAGGGTCTTGGCGAGCTGACCGATCTAAGGGAGTTAACGCTTTGTCGAGGTTCATATGGCGTGGGGGACACTCTTGATCTTCTACTCTCTACCCTCTGCAAGCTCCATAGCCTCCAGTGCCTAACCATCCATGGGCATGGTATGCATGAAGATGCCTTGACTTGGTCCTTATGGTCCTCTCCGCCACGCCATCTTCGTAGATTGCATGTGCTACCCTGGCCGTTCTCCACTGTCCCAGATTGGATCTCCCAACTGGACAAGCTCACAAGTTTGGAAGCTGAACTTGACTCGCTTTCAACGGATGGTGCCGAGATTCTTGGCAAGCTGACCTCGTTGGTGCACCTCAGGTTACATGTCAGGGAGGAGCGTGCTCCCGATGAAGGCGTTGTCATCCGCAGAGCAATGTTCCCCAACCTCAAGAGTTTTTGGTTCAGACACCAGGTGCCTTGCCTCGTGTTTGAGGCAGGGGCCATACCCCTGCTTCAGAGACTCACTGTGGACTGCTACATGAAAGTTGTGCGGCAATCTGATGGTGTACTTGATGGCATCGAGCACCTTGGTAGACTAAAGTCATGCAAGGTGGATATTTACAGTCAACATCGGTTCATTCCTTTCTATGCAGACAGGAGTAGGAAAACCATTACTGGGGTTTTGCACCGACAGCCACATCTGTCGGAGGTTCCAAGGTGGGACTTCCGGTCTCTGAAGGGTGCGTTCAGGGAGGCCATCAACAATCACCCTGAATGTCCTGATGTTACCATTCAGGATGCATAAAAGCATCGGGTGACCAAGTGTAGGAACTGCATGGTCAAAATGGTACGGTAAAAATTAACTTTCATTCTCTTGTATATGTTTCTCTTATTTCCATTGTGAAAAATCTCAGCATGTTACTAGCATGACATTAAATTGCTTTGGTCACCAACTGTTTAGTTCTAGTCTTTCACATCCCTATACCTGAAAACTAATCTGATCTGCAGGGTGTACAGTGCTGTTTCTATGGTGACAAGAAATGCAGACACCGATGTGGAGAGTGTGGTTCAGTTATACCAATCGTCTACGCATTGACACCGATGTCTAAATTCTTCCAACTTGCCTGCTCTCCTGAGCGTGCTCTTTGGTATGTCTCTGTACTCCCTCTCTCCCTCCCTCCCTCTCATTTCAATCTCACACCATCTCGCGTGGTGTTGTACGTCTAATACATGATGTGCTTCGTGTCCTTTTTTCTACCTCGAAGACACGCTCTACCCTGTGGCCTCTAGCATCTGCCTTGACGTCATGAAGGATATCCAAGGTAGGTGCTTAAACCAAGCCGTCGTGGTTCTACTAAAAATCTGCACTAGTATCAGTTTGCACCAGGAGATGGTTGGTTGTTTATGTGTGCTGTTAATGAGCTACTAATGCTGCTGTCTAACTCATTGCCTGTCGCAGCCGGCCATGGCAGGTACTACCAGTATCAGCAGCAGCACAGCAGCCACGCGGTCTACACCGGACACGTCGGCCACTGGCCACAGAGGCGGCGTCTCCTCCTACGCGCACTATCACCACGGCGAGCAGTAGGTTAAGATAAAGATCAATTGAGGTCACCAGATTCAATCGATGACAGATGCTCTGCTCTCTGTTCTCTGCTTGTGTGTGTGTGTGTGTGTGTGTGTGTGTGTGTGTGTGTGTGTGTTGCTCCTGCTCATCAGGTCAGCTCCTGCACTAACCTAACCTGTAATCAATCATTCAGTCCATGATCCATCATCAGTCTAGCGTAGGCGTGTGTGGCGATCAGTCTATCAGTTCACTAACGGGGCTGGGCATAATTGTTGAGAGGAAGAAGAAGATTAACAAGGGGAGCTGAAGTGAAGCTCCAGGGGTGCTCCATTAGCAATAAGTAAACAGAGTTACAGAGTGCACGCTCTGTTTATGTATGTATATGTAAAAATACTGTTGTTGTAACTGTAGAATCTCATGCCTGCTGCCCCCGTTTTGGGCAGTAGCAAGATCCCAATCCTAATCCCAACAAGGGAATTATGATTGTGCTCTTATACCACCGAATGTGTCCTGTCCGGCCATTTTGGGATCTTCATCTCGAGTACTTCTCGTCCACGTCGCCGTGGTGAGGCAGGCTTTGCTTGGCTCCTCAAATTATCTTAGGCCATATGGTGGGGTGGTCTCCTTCCTTTTACATGTGATTGAAATGTTGTCGTCCTCGACCCATGCTGCTTGTAGGCAGGACCAAAGCTCCTCAGCCCCAAGCGAGTGGGAGAAGGTCCCTCCCCGCTCCCCGGTAACAGTTGGGATTGGGCTATGCGGTGCGGTCCGATGGTTTCGTTCTGGAGAGGCGGGGTCGTTCCTCATTGACAGCGGCGGAGGCATCTGCTTATTGTTTGGTGACTCCCGTGCTCATGCCCGGCAATGAGGTTGTGGTGTTGTGTAGTGCCTATCGCGTGTGTTATGGTTTTCGTTGTTTGGTTTTCTTTGATTTGCTTCGACAATGATGTTGTGGTGCCATGTAGTGCATATTGGTCATATGACTTTATTTATAAATTACGGCAAAAGCTTATTTTAAGAGATATTTCTTGAGAGGAAATGAATCAACAGTACACAGACATCCAAAAAACTTATTTGGCCCGTCGCCACAGAGCACTTCACCACCACCACAAGACAACCCCAGCAATGTGATTTTGTACTGAAAGTCACTGTTATCACCAATTTGGGTTCATACAAGGGACAAACTCAAAACCGAACCCGGAACCATTGTCTGTGGTCTGTGTCCCATTTTAAGAAAATAAATCGGCTACTGTAAGCATATCGTGCCCAAGCAACCATTCTGGAATCTGAAATTCAGACAGGAAACGAATTGGTAGCTGACTGTGATCTACTCCCTCTGTAAAGAAATAACAGAGTGATCTAAAACGTTTTATACTACATGATACCCAACACGTTGTAGCGGGAATCTTTTGCAATATATTCAGTTAGAATTGGTTGTATGGAACATGAATATTTTGAGTAATAATATGAGAACTAAAGCTGAAAATAAATATAATTTGTGGTGTTTTATTATTGTATAATATAAATATCATAATAGAATATAAATTCTCATGCATGTTTGCACGTTGAGGTGGCTTTTTATTATGTATGATTGCATGTTGTGGTGAACCTTTCTCCATGCATGTCGAATGATGAGGTAACATCATGTTGAGAGAAATAGGCTAGTGGAGCTAGCTATTTAGATGTAGAAGATTCCTTTAGAGAGGGAGTACGTCCTAATCTAAGGACATGCATATTCCCACCTCAGCAGGTTGTTGCGCCCATCCTTTCCTCGACAAGAAGAAGAAGAAGATCCTTCCACTACCAGCTTATTTGGATCGCTGCTTGCTGAAAGGACGCCGTAGGTGCTGTAATTTTTGTTCAGAATATGTGCTGCTGCTACAGCTCTAATTTGGGATATGAAATTCAGACTTGGGGCTGACTGTGATCTCTGTCCTAACCTGGGCACATTTTTCAGCTCCAGCTCTGCTTCGTGCTGAAGCGACGACGAAATCTCAGTTAGCTACCACAGACCATTCATCCAGGCATTCTGCGACATGCATACGTAGCAAATGCGTACACTAGTTCTACTACTACTAGTAGCTGCTCTGGAATTGTAGATAAAGATTACGGACAAGATCGAGAGTGATAGCTGATAGGGGTTTGCATGCAAGTGGGGCGACGGACCGGCTGACAGAGACCGGGACGTGTGGTACTACTCCAGAGACCGCTCTAGCCGCCCTATATGTTTGTTCGTTATCCACTGCCCATCGTGTGTGTCTGTTGTACTATATACTAGGACGTATTTGGTTGCGTGCATAGAGTCCAGGCTGGCCCGCTGAAAACCCAGGAATTGACAGTTTCTTGTGATCTAGGTAGAGCTTCAACCTCCACTAAGCTTCTATCTAATCTCCTCTTTTTGATCTACACAACGGTGCTTCGGTTCAAGGTAAACTCTACACAAAAAGATGCACCTCGATGCTACGGTTCCATTCAGGCGATCGGTTCATAGTTTCGTCAGATGTAAGTTTTTAATTTTGTCTTCCCGTTTGGAGCTATTCTGGACGAATTTTGTCAGATTCGTCGCGCACGATCGATCTTTTGAAATTTCCGTTGACCAGCAGTCTAATCTCGTAGTTCCTCACAACATTCATGTTGTAAGTTTTTGGTTTCGACGATCGTAGCTTCATCTCTCTTTGAACAGCAGTGTACTACACTAACACCGCCATGTTGAGCTCCTCTGTCCTTTGTTCAAAGCCCTACTATTCGTCCCTCTCAATGCCGACGCCCTTCCCCTTGATCTCCTTGCCCGCGTCCTACTACACTAGAGTCGTTTCCGGTATCGCTCATCTCGGCCCACTCTCTGTCGTCCTCCTACTGCACTGACGCTGCAATGGCGCGCACACTGCAATTCGCCGCGCCGCCGACGGGGTCGATCATCTTGGCCTCCTCTCTCTCGTCCCACTACACTGGAGTCGTTTCTGGCATCGATCATATGTAGAGTGCAACAGTTTAGCGCATTCAGCTCTTTGCGAAGACTGGCACGAACCGCAGCGCTGATCGCCGGCATCCATTGCAGAAGCGAGCTTGTCGGGTAAGGCATGAAACGGTGAGGCCTGCTGTGCAGGAGCATGTGGAACCAAACACCCGGCCTCTACTGCTGTGCGGCTATATAAAGAAATCATGGTCAATGGTGTGTGTTGTCCCAGACACATGGTGGGCCGACAGGCGAGCTATCGCTGAAGCAGGCACACAAACGTGTGGGAGTCGAACTTCTGATAGACACATGCATTGCTAGCTAGTAGAGATAGCGAATTGTTGCTAAATAGCAGCACTTAAACCTAAATTACTAAGTACAACGATAGTTTTTGTTTACTCCAGTTTTATTCATTTATGAAAAGAATGTGAATTTTTTCTTAAAAAATGCAAATAATGTTTGAAAATTATGAAACAAATTCGAATTCAAACTAACTTCTAAAATGTACATATTTTCTTTTGGCAAAAGTGAACAAATATTTGAAAAACACGAACAAACTTTTGAAATTCCAAACATTTATTGATTTTCTAATTTGTAAATATATATTCAAAAAAATTCAAATATACACTGAACAATTGTTAAAATACACACTAATTGTTTTTGTGATATACGCTGAGAAAAAATTAAAACATTATGTGATATATACAGAAAAATATTGAAAATACACGTTGAATTCTTTGGTGGAGTACGATTAAGTTTTATTAACTTAAAATTATTTTTAAAAATGTTGAACATTTTCTTAATACATTAACATTGTGAAATCTTTTCCAAAATTGTAAATAATTTTTGAAATCCATTAATATTTTCTGAACTTCTGAATATTTAATGTAATTGTGGACAACATTTCAAATACATTAACATTGTTTTACAAATTCGTGCATATTTTTTATAAACTTTTACCTTTTTAATGTAAAACATTCTTTACTGAATGGCAAACATTTTTCAAAAAAGCGACATTTTTTTTGAATTAGTGAAGATTTGTTTTCAATTGGCGTACATTTTTTAAATCGATGATTTTTCCCGAAAATTGAGGGAACATAGATTACAATTCACGAACATTTTTCTAAAAAAATGATTTTTTATCAGCTGTTGAACCGGTGAACTGTCTTTATAATTCCTCAACATTTTTGAATTTCCTGATTTTCTAAAATGAATGAATAATTTGAATTAAAACATTTTATTCTATTTCATAACACATTTTGAATACACGAACATTATTTTC